TTATTCTAGTTATCCATTTATCCATTCTTTTTTCAAGGTTTTAGTTTCTTTGCGCTGGTTACATAGTTCCTCCTTTAGCTCTAAGAAGTTTGATTAACTGAAGCCTTCTTCTCTCAACTCGTCAAAGTCATTCTCCGTCCAGCTTTGTTCCATTGCTGGCGATGAGCTGCGTTCCTTTGGAGGGGGAGATGCGCTCTGATTTTTTGGATTTCCAGCTTTTCTGCAATGCTTTTTCCCCATCTTTTTGGTTTTATCTGCCTTTGGTGTTTGATGATGGTGACGTACTGATGGGATTTTGGTGTGGGTGTCCTTTCTGTTTGTTAGTTTTCCTTCTAACAGTCAGGACCCTCAGCTGTAGGTCTGTTGGAGTTTGCTGGAGGTCCACTCCAGACCCTGTTTGCCTGGATATCAGCAGCAGAGCCTGCAGAAGATAGAATATTGCTGAACAGCGAGTGTTGCTGTCTGATTCTCGCTCTGGAAGCTTCGTCTCAGGGGTGTACCCCACCGTGTGAGGTGTGAGGTGTAAGGTGTCAGTCTGCACCTAGTGGGGGATGTCTCCTAGTTAGGCTACTCAGGGGTCAGGGACCCACTTGAGCAGGCAGTCTGTCCGTTCTCAGATCTTAACCTCTGTGCTGGGAGATCCACTGCTCTCTTCAAAGCTGTCAGACAGGGGCATTTACCTCTGCCGAGGTTTCTACTGCTTTCTGTTTAGCTATGCCCTGTCCCCAGAGGAGGAGTCTACAGAGACAGGTGGGCCTCCTTGAGCTGTGGTGGACTCCACCCAATTCAAGCTTCCTGGTGGCTTTGTTTACCTACCTAAGCCTCTGCAATGGTGGGCGCCCCTCCCGCAGCCTCGCTGCCACCTTTCAGTTAGATGTCAGACTGCTGTGCTAGCAATGAGGGAGGCTCCGTGGGCATGGGACCCTCTGGGCCAGGTGTGGGATATAATCTCCTGGTGTGCCATTTGCTAAGACCCTTGGTGAAGCACAGTATCAGGGTGGGAGTTGCCTGATTTTCCAGGTGTTGTGTGTCTCAGTTTCCCTTGGCTAGGAAAAGGGATTCCCTTTCCCCTTGTGCTTCCCAGGTGAGGCAATGCCTTGCCCTGCTTCAGCTCTCGCTTGTCGGCCTGCACCAGCTGACCAGCACCGACTCTCCGACATGCCCCAGTGAGATGAACCCGGTACCTCAGTTGAAAATGCAGAAATCACCCGTCTGCTGTGTCGCTCACGCTGGGAGCTGGAGGCTGGAGCTGTTCCTATTTGGCCATCTTGGGCGCGCCCCCTGAGTCTTCTCATTTTTAAAATAAATATTCCTGGAGGCATTCTTGTGAGAAATAGAAGATGTATATATAAGACCTGACACACAGTAGGGACTCTGAACATGGTGGATAGTGTTATTTTTCATAGCAGAATAGCTAACTAATCACTCTTCAGAAATTCTTTCTTTTATTCTAGAAAACAGTCTGAGTCTGTGGTTCTCAATCAGGGACACTTCTTCCTCCCACTCCACCCCACCCTACCAGGACATTTAGTAATATCTGGAAGAGGTTTTTAGTTGTCACATCTGGAGTGGATGCTACTGGCATGTAGTGAGTAGAGGCCAGGGATGATGGGAAACATCCCCAATACACAGGACAGTGTCCATCACAGAGAATGATCTGGCCTATATGTGTGTTTCATGATACTGTCAACTCCCTCTCTCTGTCTCTGTCCACATATGTTTTGTTTTATCCTCTCTTTTTTCTTTATATCCTTTTGATCTGAGAATATTATGTTACGTAACATGGTGTTTATTTGCATAAGACCCCCCTACAAGAGAAAGCAAATTGGAGTGTGTTGGTATGGCGCCATGTTGTGAGATTGCCAGGCAGTCAACAGGAACAATTAAGTGCTTTTCAAGGGGAACCCTCATTTAACCTATATTCTTGTTTCTCAGTATAAGTGTTGTATCCTAGAGGAATGTGTTGTATCCTAGAGGAAGAGCAAGGGATGTAAAGAGAGCACTGAATTAAGAATGGGAAGACTGTGGCTTTCCCACTTGGTACCCATATAGCTATGTGGCTAGTTTCTTCATATTTTTAAATAGACTTTTTATTTTGGAATAACTGTAGATTTATAGGAAATCCATAGATAATACAGACAGTTCTGTATACCCTTAACCCAGTTTGCCCAAATGTTAATATCTTATGTAACCTTGGTACAGTTGTCATAACTAAGAAATTAACATTGATGCATTACTCATAACTAAACTCCAGACTTTATTCAGATTTTACCAGCTTTCCACTAATGTTCTTTTCCTATTCCAGGACCCAATCCAGGATCCCACAATGCATTTAGTGTTCCTTCACTTTTAAAATGGAAATATTTTAACAACTTGAGGGTTGTTATGAGTTGTCAAAAAGACCATCTCAAAGTAATTCTAAGTACATAAGAAAATATAACATGATGATATGTTTCTTTACAGTCATACAACAAATGGCACAATATCTGTGCACACTTAGATCAGCAGTATTTGATTTGCATTTGAACATGTAAATATTTGTTCCTTCAAAAGATATGTTTGAGCATCGAGTGTGTTTGGGATGCTATGCAAGATGCCAAGGATATTATGAATATCTTCAACTCCCTAAGGTGTGCTTCTCTCAAAAAGGTTATAGACTATTGGGGAATAAAGCACATTAATCCTAATTAACATTCAGTGTGTGAAGTCTCTGACTGGAGTAACCATGAGAGGTTACTGACAATGCCAGGGTGCCCCAGCACAAACTTGAGAGGCTTTCCAAGGTAGATTATGAGCAGGGGAGGTGAGGACACAGTGTTCTATGCAGAAGGAACAGCATGTGCAAAAGCCCAGAGACAAGGAGAATATATTTATGGAACAGAAAATTGATCAGTGTGGTTAAAGTGTGTCTTAAGTTGGGAGGATAGGTGAGCCAGGAAGCTGGAGGCAGGAACAGATTGCAAAACCCTCCTGGGCCACACCAGGGAGTTTCTTTGTATACCAATGATTGGTGAAGGAGAGATTGAAGAGTTTAAATAAAACAGGCAGGATGAAAATTTCCATGAAATAAAGCTCTCTTGCACTATGATGTGGTGAGTGGATTACAAGGAAGGAAGACTGGCTGCTGGGCACAGTATCAAAAGATTATTGGAAGAGTTGTCCATATAAGTAAACAATGGCCTGAATAAGAGTCGTGTCCCATACAAATATTATAATGAATTGAATTATTTAGTAAAGTAAGCTATTAATCTCTTTTTTCTGAACTAATTTGTGTTCACTGAAGCAAAAGCCTTGAATTTGGGCAAAGTAGGTAGTGGTTTATTTGGGAAACACATCTGAGGCACGGGCAGAATTTGCTCACCAAGATTACATGATTCTGCTCCACACATGAGTGGGTGAGGGTGTGAGCCAAGGCAGGCAGGATGTTTGAGGCAGTATCTCACCATCACAAGTCTGGTCTTTCCAATGGCTCTGACATTCTGATATATCTCACTGGAAAGAGGCCGAGCAGAACTTGGCCTTCATTGTAAATGATGGGCGCCATTAAGGAATTTCTTCCTGCTCTGCCCATTAGTATCCTATCATTTTTAATCCATATTCTACCTTCCACCTTTAAAAATTGAAATATTTTAAGCAAAACTGTCTTTATACTCTTCTTGTCTTAGTTCATAGTTTATCTCTGATAGTTGCTGGCATGATCATTCCTAAGGACTTTTTTTACAAGTCAAAATTTAAACTACACATGTAATCCAATAGATCTTATGGCCTCTGAGAATGTCCAATCCCTGCTCAGCACTTGAGGGTTTTCTCTGCCCTCCCTTTAAAGCTTTTCTTTTCATTTTTATTGTTTTTGTTTGTTTGTTTGTTTGTTTGTTTGAGATGGTGTCTCGCTCTGTTGCCCAGGCTGGAGCACAGTGGCACGATCTTGGCTCACTGCAACCTCTGCCTCCTGGGTTCAAGTGATACTCATGCCTCAGCCTCCCGAGTAGCTGAAATTACAGGTGTCCACCACCACACCCAGCTAATTTTTATATTTTTAGTAGAGATGAGGTTTTACCATATTGGTCAAGCTGGTCTCAAACTCCTGACCTCAGGTGATCCACCTGCCTTGGCCTCTCAAAGTGCAGGGATTACAGGCATGAGCCACCAGCCCAGCCTAAGCTTTTCTTTGATATGTACAGAAATAGATTTCTAAAACAAGGGCCAGCAAACTATAGCCCAACGGCCAAATCTGGCTGCCTGATTTTGTAAATAAAGTTTTATTAGCATATAGCCACACCCATTCATTTACCTATTGTCTGTGACTCCCTAAGGTGTGCTTTATTGTCTGTGACAATAGGTAAATGTCATTTACTATAGCAGAAGAGTTGAATAGTCACAAAAGAGACCATGTGGCCTGGCCTACATAGCCAAAAATATTTACTGTCAGGCCCTTTGCAGAAAAAGTATGCTGGTCCCTGACCTAAAAAGAAAGGATTTTAGAGGTGCTGGTGTTGTGTTTGTATCCAAGAGGCAACTGGAAATCCTTTGACCTACCCACATGTGACAACACACACTGTCCCATACTCACTGGGTCAGTTTCTTGCCCAGCATCATGTATTGCCAGAGTTGAATTTACCAAACCTTTTCCTGTGATTGTCTGAGAGCTGTATACTGGGCAGAAGGAAGCTGCCAACTGCAACAGTGGCTGTCGAGTTTGGACACCATGGCATTTGCATCAGGTTGTAACTCATTTCCTGCCTTTAAATGCCTTGTACCCAATGCAGTGTTGAATGACAGGCAGTACTCCAAACCAATATTGAATTGTCAAAGAAGTAACAACTATGACAAAATGTCCAGGTGTGACTCTGCCAAGACTTTTTAATACTTAAATCTTTAAGATACAAATGTGAGTAATGAAATAGAGAAGGCCTTGTTATTTATAAATAATTTCATGAGTAGAAAACCCAGGCATTACTATCACAGTTTTTCCTAATTTTGTGGCCTGAAAATTGTATTCTCATCCTAAATTCCTAAGAGTAATGCTTTAATTTTTAATAATCTCAGAATAATATAAACCTCTAGAGTATTCTATATCTTGATTTGTTTGGCTTCTGGTCTGAAGTCTGTTGAGCATGAATGCATCTTATGCTGGATAGAACACTGCAGTGGTTGAAAATGGAGTCTTCATTCATTCCTCCTTTTTAGGATGCCATCCAGCCGGTATGTACCTGTGCTGCTTGTGTACACCTGGAATCTATGAAGCTAGCTCACACTATGTGTTCTGGCTAAGCCTTGTCCATGCTGTTGTTGAATAGTTGGCATACCACCACTGGATCCCTATATTAGAACTGGTAGACTGAAAGCTTATGAAGGCAGGCACATATTCTTATTCACTCTTATTGTGTACTATACTTTACACAGAGTTTCTGCTCTCTATTGTCTTTTGAATATTATGAAAACTTTGCAAACAAATGTCTTTGAAAGTTGCTTATAACGTTTAAATTACTATTAAAATATAAGATACCACTTTGTGATAGGAGGCATGTCTCAGGTAGGGCTGACTTGTTCCTGTCTTTTAAATCTGATTTTGAAAATATGCTATTGGTTATAATAAAATAAACAATCCTCTTCCTCTTCCTTTTTCTGTTTTGTGAACTTGTTTTCAGGCCAACCATTTAAACTGGATCCCAAATCTGCTCATCGAAAACTGAAGGTGTCCCATGACAACTTGACAGTAGAACGTGATGAATCATCATCCAAGAAGAGTCACACGCCTGAACGCTTCACCAGCCAGGGGAGCTATGGAGTAGCTGGAAATGTGTTTATTGATAGTGGCCGGCATTATTGGGAAGTGGTCATAAGTGGAAGCACATGGTAGGCAACTTATATTCATTGTCCTGCAGTTATAAAAAGGCACATCTCATTCTGTACTTAGAGAGTCAACCCATACTGAAATGCATCTTAAAGAATAAAGTGCAGAAAAGTTGTATTAGTCAGCTATTGCTAGGTAATGCTGCATAACAAACACCCCCAAACTCAGCAAATTCAAACAATGACCATATATTACTAATACCCACATCTGTGGGTTCTCTGTTCAAGATTATAGAGCTCTGGTCATTGGAAGAGCTATACCATGCTAACACTGCTCTTTTATGCCATAAAACATGGGTCAGCAAACCACAGCCCATGAGCCAAACCTGGCCTGCTACCTGGTTTTGTAAATAAAGTTTTATGGGAATACAGCCAGGTCCATTTTTTTACGTGTAGTCTATGGCTGCCTTTCAGCCACAACAGCAGAATCGAGTAGTTAAGAGAGAATCATATGGTCTTTGAAGCCAAAAATATTTACTTCCTGGTTCTTTCAAGAAAAAGTTTGCAATTCCCTACTTTAAAACATCACTCTTCATCATTATACAAAACTAATTTCTGTTGCCTTGTATGTTTTATGATTCTAGACTGGACCAATTAGTGCAAATAGCTGAGGGCTGAATGGGGGGGTGAAGCAGTGATCATAGGCTGGGAATAATTTCAAAAGGCCTGTTAGATCCAGCCCAGTAACTTTAGCCCACTGAGTTCTCTAAGAATAAGGGCAAAGGTCAGGACACAATTACACTGGAATTAGTTAACCTCACAAAGTTAACCTTGCCTAATCCACAGCCACAAACTGCACCCCTTACTTTGACCGTCTGTCTCACAAATGCCTGCTTGCTATTGATCAAAAAGGGAGCTATTTTATTTTTATTTAATAAGCCCTCATATGGTACAAGTATGTGCCAGGCACTGGTCTAAGCATTTTACAGATGTCAACTCATTTATTCAGGCTTACAGCCCTACAAAGGTAGGTGCTAATATTATCCACTTTACTGATGAGGTGACTGGGGTATATGCTGAAGATCACAGGGTTACAAAGCTCACAGGTGGCAGAGTCAGCAAGTCTGCAGTCAAGGGTCAGGCTCTTAACCAGCAGTCCACAAACATTATCTGTAAAGGGCCAGAGATTCAATATTTCTGGTTTTGCACACCAAATGATTTTTGTCACTAATACTCAACTCTTCTGTTGTAGTGGGAAAGCAGCCACAGACAACACCTACACAAATGGACATGGCTGCATTCCAATAAAACTTCATTTATAAAAACAGGCAGAGGGCCAGAGTTGGCCCCTGGGTAGTAGTTTGCTGTTCCCTGCTCTTAACCACCATGCTATGCTGCTATTCACAAAAGGGTGGTATATTTTTGAAATGCTATAATTACTCTCTAGGGCTTACAATAGTGTACTTAATGAGTGATAGCTAAATCCTTGCTTTAAAAAATAAAATCAACATTCAAAATTGCATAGCCTGAAGATGGTGAGTATAACAGTGTTTCAATATAAGCATGATAAAACACTTCTTATTTATATATTTAAAAAACGTTCAATTCAAACCTATGCAAATAATGTGACATGTCTGAATCCCTTATATTGTAGGTAGAAATTAGCCAAAAATCTAAGAAGTGAATTGTAAGCTTCCCATCTCTCCCAATAATGGTACATACTATATTGGCTGAGCGAGTAGGTTTTCCTTTGTTGTTATACTCATAATTCTCTTTGCCTAGAAGATTTTTCTGTTCCAACATCCTGCCAGAGGACGGAGGACAAATCCTTCATCCCACTAGGCTCTGGGCTAGATAGGCATTTGCCATTTTTAGCTGTGATGGGGCAAAATTAAAGCACAAAGGAAAACACAATGAATGCAGGTACAAAAAAGCAAATGTTTCTAGCTAATTAATATGCTGTATTAATCTGGGATAGAATCCAGGGTCTAAATGATTATTACTCTATTAATAATTATTTATGATAAATGAAACCTGATCATTATGATCTCATTGCCATTGATGAATAGTTTGCAAAATTCCATCAGACCACTTCAGTTATATAAACACAGATCAGCATTACCTTGAAAACACCCTCCAGATGTCAAAACTAACTCATAAGGGGGAAAAGAAATTCTAAAATTAATTGCTACACAATTAATCTTTACAAACCTAACTGTGTCAATTTCAGAAAAATCTTCATGTAGAAAGTCACTTTACATTTCCTGGGGGGTATTAGCAAGGAAGGGGTGCCCCCTACAATTAAATGCCTGTGACATCTTGATTTGCAACAGCTAATGACATATATTTGCTTGTCAAATATAGTCCTGGCTTTAAATTAATGTGTACATTATGATCTGTGCAATGGGGCATGTTAACATTGCCCTGAGAGACATAATTTTTATACTTTGAATTCTCCGTGTCTCACTGCGTAACTTAATGGAACATTACATTCTGCCTACACCTTTCAAGCTCAATGGAAATATGTACCTAGTTTCACAGATTAATGATACTATAATGGTATTTTCCTTTGCTTAATGGACTATACACTTAGTTATTTTCTTACTCTCTGATGCTAATGTGCACTTGGTGTTTTATGAAATGGTGTTAACTAAACGAGTAATAACGGGTTCATGCAAAGATTATTAGACCAGAAGGGGTGGGGGCAGCATACAACTCTGGATTTTGCTCCCAATTTTAATCTTCTGTTTCTATTTGCTACATGTAGTCAGCCATACCTGCCACAGCTATTTCATAGGGTTCAGTTAAGGTTCAAATGGGAAATAAACATCAAAGTAACAAAAAATAAAAATGCTGTGCCACAACAAGAAGGAAACAATACAGATGTGGTGATTTTGTGATGCAAATGCAGGTTCCAAATTGTCTGAAAGATGAAAATGGTATTTACTGGGGTATACAGAACATTTTAGGGAGTGGGAGATACTGACAATTGCAAAATGAAAACCTTTCCAAAGTGTATGTATTAGTCCATTTTCATGCTGCTGATAAAGATATAACCAAGACGGGGCAATTTACAAAAGAGATTTATAATGGACTTAACAGTTCCATGTGGCTGGGAAAGCCCACAATCATGGCAGAAGGCAAGGAGGAACAAGCCACGTCTTACATGGATGGCAGCAGGCAAAAAGAGAACTTGTGCAGGGAAACTCCCCCTTTTTAAAACCATCAGATCTCGTGAGACTTATTCACTATCACAAGAACACTGAAAGGATCTGCCCCCATGATTCAGTTTCCTCACACCGGGTCCCTCCCACAACATGTGGGAATTCAAGATGAGATTTGAGTGGGGACACAGCCAAACCATATCAGTGTATCAAATAAACAGATGACATTTGAGACCCTTGATGCACTCCCCAGAGGAAGGGACCCAGAAGCTTACAGGACCCTGGAAGGGCTGGGGCACAAAGTCCGGGAGTCTGATGCTCTAGTTCGTGGAGTCATGATGAGCTGTAGCTGCTGCAAAATTGCCCACAGCACAAGGCAGGTGTACTCAGGTGCTCATCTAGAAGCTTCCACCAACTGCACATCTACTGTCTGCCATCAGGAAAGAGTGTTTCCCCTCCTCTAAGCACTTCTGGATCTTGTGCAAAGGCATCACAATAGCAGAGCCTGACTCAGACTCCTGCAGGAAAGGGGATTCTGGGAAATGCAACTTGGATTCTCCTCATAAGCAGGAGAGGATGGATGGGAGGGAAGAGAGGATGCAACACTGATGACAGACAGGCCTGCACACTGGGCTTGGCAGATTATCAATTCCATCCTCCTTTTGGATTTAATGATAGCATGGTGTATTAATTTTCTTTTTAAACACACCACTCTTAAAGTGATTGTATTTTAAGTCCAGTGTGATTTTTTTAAAGAATGTCATTTTATTAAAGATCCATGAAATTTTTCTCTCTGCATTGGGTAAGGTACCATGTGTTAATATCCAGTTAGGCTGGTTTCTGCTATAACATATTAAAAGTTCACCTGTGAGTCATTTACTGTTTATTAAGAGTGATGGGTTTTGTTTATCTTAATAACTGAAATACTATGAATATTACAGAGGCATGCTTCAGAGGGGTAAAAAGAGACTAAGAAGCTTAGAACATTGTAGAAAGCGTTCTTTGGATTTTTTTTTTTTTTTTTTTTTTTTTTTGAGCAGCAAGAGAACATTTAGAATAACCAGAAGATCGTCTGCTCAAACACATTCAGAATTTTTTTTCAGTGTAGTAGGAAATATAATCAGAAAGGCTCTTGGCAGTGATGGACTGCACAATTTCTGGTTATGGATGGCATTGTAGAATGTAGTTCGTGTTTGTGGGTTTTGAGTCATCCTAAGTTCAAATTCTGATTCTGGTACTTATTGTTAATATGTGCCATCAGGCAATAATAATAAAATAGCAGTTACTAAATATTGCATGCCAGGTCCTGTGCCTAGGACTTAACACGTATTCTCTCCTTTACTCCTTAAAATAACACTGCAAGATGGAGACTATCATTGTCCCTGTGGTATACATGAGAAAACTGGGGCTGAGTAATGACAAAGGACTTATCCCCACAAATGGAAATCATCTTCTGTGCTTGCCCTTGGCAAAATGCTTTCAGAATCAGAAAATGACAGACATAGTGTTAAATTAAAAATTATAAGAAGGTCAAAAGGAGAAGTCTAGGGTTGTGCTGTCCAATATGGTAGCTATGAGCCACATGCAGCTATTTAAATCATTTAACTTAATGAAAATTAAATAAATTTAAAGTTCAGTTCCTCAGTCTCACCAGCCGCAGCTAAAGTGCCCGGTAGCCATATGTAGCTTGTGGTTACCACATCGAGGAGAGCAGGACATTTCAATCATTGAAGAAAGTTCTTTTGGTCAGCACTGGTCTAGCGAATTCATTGTGTAGATTTTTATAAAAGTGAAAAAAAGCAGCAAAATACAAAGTTCAAATTCTCTGTAGTGTTTGAGCTGAAAACAGAAATGTGGGTAAATACGATGCTTCTTTCCCTGTTTGTGAGGGAAGGAGATGAGGAACACAGATGTCGGGGTTCTTGCCAAGCTTTCACTTAAAGAAAATGAACAGGGACAACAAATGATCATGTTTTTATAACCCCTGAGGACCACAGAACGGATTTAATGTGCATATGCAACATGGCTCATTGTTTTTGTTGTTGCTGTTTTGTTTCTGCAGGTATGCTATTGGTCTTGCTTATAAATCAGCCCCGAAGCATGAATGGATTGGGAAGAACTCTGCTTCCTGGGCGCTCTGCCGCTGCAACAATAACTGGGTGGTGAGACACAATAGCAAGGAAATCCCCATTGAGCCTGCTCCCCACCTCCGGCGCGTGGGCATCCTGCTGGACTATGATAACGGCTCTATCGCCTTTTATGATGCTTTGAACTCCATCCACCTCTACACCTTCGACGTCGCATTTGCGCAGCCTGTGTGCCCCACCTTCACCGTGTGGAACAAGTGTCTGACGATTATCACTGGGCTTCCTATCCCAGACCATTTGGACTGCACAGAGCAGCTGCCGTGAGCGTCTGGCCACATGGAGCAGCTTTCTGGGGAACAAAAAGGTTCAGGCCACTATTTAGGAGACTGAGAAAGCACAGGCTTCATGAGTGTAATGAAATCTCACCAAAAGTGTCCAGAAATCGGCTCAGATAGGGCTCAAAACAGGAGATTCCTCTCCTTTTACTGTGTCTTGTATTAAGTACGGGCTTTAATAATTTCTTTAATTTTTTTTTTGTATTTAGAGGAAAATCTATAGATTATTTATAAGAGAAACATAATCGGGATTACAACTTTTAGGAATTACTTGGTTTTTGCACATTAAGAGGCCCATAAGTTTATCAGCTATTTACAACCTGTATTTCATCACAATCTATGGGCTTGCAAACAAACAAACAAACAAAAAAAAACTTTTGTAATTTTGTATGTTTATTCATCTTCTCACCTAACATCTCATAATGATCCCATGATGTCTTCTCACCTCGATGGTGCATAACAGGAAGTGTCTGAACCTAGTAGGGAAGTAAACAGGCTTTCTTACTCTGGTTTAATATGAAGTGTTTTAATTGTGGTGTCAAAAACTTGTATCAGATCAACTAAAATGGAGAGCAAGACAGAGAATGAAAAGAATTGATTTTGGACCTTGGACCTTGCCGCGGCTAAATCTTTACCCTCTGATAGCTGATGAGATAATGTTGGAAAGAAAGGTTCTGAATCCTTTGGCCGCATTTTGCCCTGCTTCGCTCAGGGTTAAGGGTTCTGGAAGAACATTAAGAATGAGATTGCAATTGAAAATAGTCATTTTGAATCCTATTGATTATTCAAAACTTCAGGCTGATTTGTCTTTTTCGGAGGTAGGATTCTGTTTTATGGTATAAAATCTACTTTATCCTTCCTTTTAATAGTTTCTTTAGACCTGTGACAGCTCTTCACTACGTTTAATAGTTATCCTATTTCCCCCTCCCCCATATCAATTTTCCTTTTGTCTCTGGGGCTGAGTAGATAAACATGTTCTGTCACAAATAGCAGCACCACTTTGGATTGATTTTGCTCTCCAGGACATCAGCACATGGCCCTGATCACCACTACCACATCCAAACATAAGTCACTGAAAAACACTTAATATTTATGAGTTGGTAATGACAAGAGACATTGCATAAAGTACTATTTACTAGATACATGCCTCAAAAGTTATTATAAACAGACCTTTATTAAACACATCTTGAAATATGTAGAAGTCCCTCTATAGTCTAGTATAGTTTACAATAGAGTTGTAAGACCAAAAAAAAAAAAAAAATTCAAACTCGTTATTCAGGAACCTGCTTATAAAATGTCAGCTGGCATTCTTTGCATGCCAATCTGATGCGTTGGAATGGTCCATGAATTAAGGCTTTCTTGAGCAGTTCTTGGACCAGAACTCTGGCATTGGTTCTACTTTGATGAAGGGCGTGACCTCTATAAATGGTTTCAATTGCTAAAATATTTACCTGGGATACTGGGTCAGCCATTTTTACTGAACAGACTAGTGGATTTAGACATTGTTTTTAGTTATTTTGTTTTTAACCAAATCAACCAACTGTCTCCCTGAAATAAATCAATGAGGTCCTTCCATCCTCTTCCCTAGCAGACACTCTCCTTTTTCTTAACAGATAGATTCTATATATTTACTATATTATTTATACCCAGATGAATATTTTGATAGATACCTAAGACAATTTCACATCTAAAAGATGGACACCTCAATGGAAAAAAAAATCTTTCTCTGGAAACCTTATGGGTTTTTCTTTTTATTACAATATAAAAGCAATGTGTGTTTGCCTTCTCTGAATAAACTGAAAGGGTTGTCTCAGTAATTTTTACATACATTTTGGGTAACTGGATAATGGATATTTTAATGCACTTTGTACACTAACAGGTTCTAAATAAAAGGGTCTAAAACTCAGCTTCTGAGTTTTTAAAATCATGGTCTCCAGGTACCAATAAATGCTACAGTTTGCCTTATGATGTTAACATAAAACAGTTAGTAGAAGGACAATATTTCCATGAAAATAATGTTTTTCAATATTAAGAAGTTACTACTCAAATTTTTACAGTAAGCCATTTAGGGTATGTTTTGGCTATTTTTATAAGGACATGAGAGATTATGTCATAATTTTGTTGTGGAAGTCTCACTCTTGGCTAACTTAAAAGCATTGTGGATAGTAGCAGTTACTAGTTCCAGGTTGTCGTATTTACAGGAAAATATGTATATGGTGAAAGGCCACCATGTTTAATTACTATAATGATGTAGAAAAGATTCCCATGTGATTTTTTTTTTGAAAGTCTAAAATATGTATGCTGTAAAAATTTGCTGCAGTGTAATTTTGCATTCTCTTTAAACTAATTGAGGTCACAGTATTTTATTATTTGAGGTCCTCACCACAGGAAACATTGCGATACAGGGGCAAAAGAGATGGCAGTGCCAATTAAATTAATACAACAAAATCAATGCAGCACCAACCAAGACTGCCAGGTCTGGTGTCATGGGTATGCCCAGAGCCCAGGAGTTCAGAAGGGCCCTAAGCTTGATTTAATGCTCTGCTGTTGCTGTCTTGAAATTCTTAATGATTTTTGAACAAGGGGCCTGCATTTTCACTTTGCACTGGGCCTTGCAAATTATGTAGCGAGTGCTCATAAAAGAACTCAGAAATGTGGTACCTCTCTTCCTGGTGGATACAAATAAAGAAATCTGGATCCAAAGTTGAAAGTTGCTGGCAATATCATTCAAGTAGGACTCTAAATAGTGGATTAAGATGAGGGTGGATTCTTTCCAGCTTTAAAAGAAAGTGACTTCAAAAATTGACTGCAAATATTGACGATGGTTTCTGCTGGAGGAAAAGAAACAGCTTGAATACAGACAGGCTTTTTTATTACGGTACTGATATATTGACCTTAAACTTGCTGAGGAACTGAACTAATGTCCTCCAGTGACCGTGGAATTCCATCTCAGCTCCAGGAACATGCAGATACCTGCAAAGAGACACGCATATATGCTGGCATACATGTGCATTTGGTGTTGGGAAGTTGACCATCTGGTCTACCTTAATAAAATGGTAAAAAGCACACAAAGACAATGATGGGGGCAGGAGGATGTTTTTGAAAACAGCGCTTCTCAACCAGGGCTCGATTTTGCCCCCCAGGAGACATTTGGCAATGCAATGGCAACTTTTGGTTGTCGCCGCCGGGGAAGGGAAGCTACCAGCATCTAGTGCGTAGAGGTCATGGACGCCATTAAACATCCTACAGTGCAAGTGCAGCCTCCGACCACAAAGAGTTGTCTTGCTCAAATATCAACAGTGCTGCAGTGTAGAAACTTGATAGGTGGTTTTCTGTTCATGCAAAACTCTCATAAAAACCTTTCACTTTTCCTGTTATTGACTATATGCTTGATACATCCAAAAAGAAAAGGGGAGGGGTGCCAATTCACCTACACTGCGGTGGCTCCTTCACCTTTAAAAATATTTATAAAATAGTTACAAAAATCTGATATCTGAAAAGCAATCCAAGCCTGTGTAAATGGGAATCACTGATAAGTATCATCATCTGTATGAGCTTGGCTTAGACATGAAAAATTGATTCTCTTTATATCACTCCTTGCACCTGGACAAATTCAATCCCTGGTACTTAAGTCACACTGCCAAGCCCTCGGCCCTGACTATTGTCTTGATTGCTGTTGCTTTCTGGTTCAAAATAAAATCATTTTTGTGGCACCAAGACCCTCTGTCTCTGCCTGTCTCTGTTGTCTTTTCATCATTTTGTGTTTTTGCAGTTATGATGTTGACAAATATTTATTCAACATCTACCATTTTTTCATACTATTTTATGACATATAATTCATTTTCTTTTACTGTCTCTCATCCACCATTTGCCTTTCCCTATTAAAAATACAATTCTTTTACAACACTCAAAATATTCTCCAGGGAATTTTTAAAACACAATAAAGCCTATATAGAAGTGGAAACCAACCAGGTTTGCTTGATTTCAAGTCTTATAGATGGGATGAGGAAGAGAAGAGCAATGATTATTTGAACAGAGGACTGGGAGTCTTTACAGTGTGATCTAGGAGAATCCTAGCAGTTGGTCCATACATAGATCCCCAACCCCATCCCATGGACCTGATGGACCTGACTTTCTCTCACTAGAGATGCAAGCCTTTGGTCTTCGTCAGTGCTATGCAAAGTGTGGTCCAGGAATCTGCAGCTGCTGCAGTGCTATGCAAAGTGTGGTCCAGGAATCTGCAGCATCTGCATCACCTGCGAGCTTAGAAATGCCAGTTCTCCTGCCTTCCCCGAGACCTGCTGATCAGAATATTTGGGGTGGGACTAGCAGTCATCCCAGGGGATTTTGATACTAGTGAAAGTGTGTGAAGCACTGCCCTGGGGAGCTACTTCCAGTCTCATAGCCCATATAGAAAGGGACTTACCACCTGAGATATGTTTTCAAGGCAATGTGCTTTAGAGAGAGCAGGATGTAATGCAGTGATTCTTAATGTGACTGAGCATTTAAACCGCCTCTTCTGCAAATGAGGATTCCTGGATCCCATCCTGAAAGATTAGGGATGAGAAGGTCAAGAGCATGGCTCAGCAGCCTGTACTTTTCCTTTCTTTCCTTTTTTTTTTTTTTTTTAAGCAATTCTGAAATGCAACCAGGATTGGCAGCCAATGCAAGTCACAGGGCTCAGCATTTTTTTCTATAAAGAGTCAGATAGTGAATACTTAAAGTTTGCAGCCCATACTATCTCTATGGCAACTACTGAACTACTACTCAACTCTGTGGCTATAGAGAAAAAGCAGCCATAAAGGAAATGTCAATGAAGGGATGTGGTTGTGTTCCAATAAAGATTTATTTACAAAAACAGGCATTGAGCTGGATTTGGCCTGTGGACTGTAGTTTGCCGATCCCGACTGTAGTGGACACAGTACTGAACTGGCAGCTCAAAGCCCTCAGGGCATTCTCTATCCCCTTACACACTGAGGGCCCAGCCGTGTGCCTTCTTGTCTGGGCCTCTGTAAGCTCTTAAAGGTCCTTTCAACAATGACTTACCATCAATTCTGTGAAATCACAGAACTCCTGGAAAAGTAGTAATGCAGTGCTTAAGACAGGGCCACTCAAGGGGTATTAGAAGATTGGTTTGTTCAACAGACCAGGGTGGGAGTGCCAGCATTCTAATGATTAGCTTTACCTCCTTCCTAATTTTGACTCAAATCAGCCTTTCTCACAAGTGACAGGTGTGTAAAATATATTCCCTTTGATAAGAGTTTTGAAGGATATTTAATTTGAACTTTTGAAACTGAACAGACATTACCATAATTAATTACCTTTCAAAGTCAACTTGAAGGGCATGTCATACACTCCACAGGGTAGCCCACATCTTGCCTTTAAAAAAAAAAATACACAAGTGAAATACATTGAAGAAGGTAGTTGCTCACAATTATAATAGGAAGACAAAAAGGGAGACGTGGGACTAACAAAATCCCTTTTCCTGAGTACCATGCTCACTATGGAATGCACATTCAAAAATGTAAAATAAAAATGGGGTTAAGGACTTATAGAACAACCTTTCTTGTAATTGTTCTTAGTAATGGGCAATTTATGGAAAGGAATTAGGGCCTCTCTTTGGGTCTTTTTCAGCCATGTTCTCCTAAGAGAATCATTAAAGCATGATTAAATAGGAAGCAGAGCAATTAACGAACAAATATGTCATGGCCGAAAACCAATTACCAATTAAGGAGTAGCACAGAAAAAATGATTTAATGAACACTGGTTCTTTTGCACAGTCTATTTATTCTCAAAGCTCAATTTTTACTATGGTCATTAAAATCTGTTCATTTTCACTAAAGCATTTCAAATAATAATACTTATCTTACCCCTTCACCAATCTTATTTTCACTCCAACTGCTGCCCTCTCTTACCTCCTCTTCTCTGTCAAGCTTCTCAAAGGGCTGTTCAGACCCACTGCTTCTGATTCTCACCCATTGTTGTGAAG